TCACCCACAAACTGAAAACAGTTTTGTGTTTTCGTTGTGCAAACATTGAATTTCATAGCAATAAGCAATATATATGTTGTGTACACACAACGACCAATCTCAACCGACCGAACTACCAAAAATTTCATGCAGCTTCGCAAAACGCAAGTCTATGTGCATTTTATGTGTGTACACAAGACTGTGCTGCACATTCGGTTTGCATTACCCATATAAGAGAAACGATTCCATACGATTTCCACCTAATTTGTGCAAGCGCGGGAACAATAATCCAAAATAAAAGAGAAAGACATGAAAAGGGGGAGAGTGAGTGAATGAGTGAGCATGGCAAACGATCAACAAAAACTTCCGAAAATTGAGTTCATGTCGGGCGGTTGCCTGCGATTGCATCGCAAAGCATCAACAAATCCGTGTCTATACATATAATGTATAGTATACACATGACAAAAGTCACAAGTGCATACTACACAAATAAACATTAATTTCGTTTACGACATGGCATAGCAACAGGTGAAATAACCCCGAAATCATGTGAAACCTCAAATTGAAAACTACTCCATTGCAGAAAATGTTTTTGATTCTCTGAACATTTTGGAGCATTTGGCTTGTGTTTGTTTTTTTTCCTTTTTTTATTTGAATTTTACTCTCTTTTGTTGTTGTTTTACGATGTGTCGTCGTCAATGTTTGTACGGCACCTACTCATTCGCTAGATATCTGTGACCGTGATTTTTCGTTGGTTTCGTTTATGGGATGGGTTGTGCTGTATGCATTTTGTATACTCTCTGTTTGGCAAAATGTGTTGTGAATCGTGTGGTCGTAAATTGGTTAACGGTTTTGCCTCTGCCTATTTCAAAGCGAACACTCTAAACACTCGTCATTCAGTCGACGTGCGAGCAATATGTGCATCTTTTTGCCACTTGCATTCGCTGAAACTGGTAATACAAGCAACCCGGGCGCGTGTTTGGCATTTGAAATTTGATTATTATTTTTTTTTGTGTGTAGAACACAAACTCACTCACGAGTTAGTTGAACGCGAAATGCGATGAGTAACTGAGTATCGTATTGAATACTATTGATGATAGGAAATCAAACGGCAGGAAACCATCTAAAGCGATCGATTATTCGTACAGTTTGATTGCATACACTTTTGGTAATTAAACTAACGACATTGATGACGTCACTCCCAAATTAGAAAAGCGAATTCCGACCACATTCATACACGGAGAGAGATACACACATATTCATACACGATAAATGAGTCAAATTATCGAAATTGAACCATTTTGTTAGAGTTTCGGTTGAAAACGTGCATTCCGGGCATGTTGTTGAAAACACGTGACACGGCGAATCCCTTGAATCAACACTTGATCGCTCTGACGAAATAACAAAAAAAAAAAATCTCCAGAAGAAATTTGAAAACTGTTGAATATATTGCAATCTGACAGTACAATTGCATGTTAACTTGGGTTACGTCTTTACGTTGTTCAAAGTGCTTGCCATTGGATTGAACTTAAAAATCACATAATTTTTTCTCATATTTTCACAACAAATTTATATAACGATTATTTCATTCTTTCCATAAACTAGCTCCAATTCATGAATTATTTTTAAGTATTCTCAAACATTTAAAACATATTAAATGATATGTTTGACTCAGTCACAAAAAGCTGCACCAACAATTCCGTAAATAGATACGATTTGAAGGTTACGTTTATATAATAAATAAATTAAACAAAAAAGAAACGGTTAAGACTTTCTATTGTAACACAAAAGTTTGTTGAAATGGTGTGTATGTAAAATGTGATGTTTAAATGCATCGCAGCGCGCTTCATTCAGATGTGAAATGTATCCTAAGTAGTTGGTATGGGTCAATCTGCATTTGGATTTTTAAAAATAAATGCAGTGTCCGGTACAATGAGTACATTGAAAATGCTGAAGAAGCGCGATTCTTATCTCAAATTAAGTTCAATCTTTCAAGATTTAGGTAAAAGCTTTCGTTTGACCTTGAAATAATTACTAGTCGGTTCAATTAAATGAAGATGTTTTGAAGTGAAAGCAACACAAATCGAGAAATGGATTCGACTCTAATTCGAATTAATCTACTTAAATTTCTGTTTTTCTTTCATTTATTTTTCATTTTAATTTCAGATAACGAAATCAAAAACGATGATTTATTCCTAAACAATCATGAAAATGTATGACGTAAGACGTGCGTATTCAAAACAATATATCGAATACAAAATTGATATGATTATTTCTGTTCTTACATCAATTTTGATGAATTGGTGGAAAAATGATGTGCATATACGTATTTCAATGTAATCGAGAAAATGTGTGTGTATGTGAGGGTATCCAACAAAAAAACATAAATTAACATGAAAAAACAATTGTCGATCAACAATGTAATATGCGGGGGCAAGTGATTTACGACTTTGCCTTGACATTATCAAATCTGCAAAGTGATTGTAGGCAAACAAACAGTTGGAAATTGTGTATCGTAGTCGACGTATACTTTAAACGTATTATATTTATCCAAATGTTTTTCAACACATTATTCTCCGATCTCTCCTACACAGTATGTGAATGGCAACCGCTATGATCATGCACATGTGTGTGTGTTAGTGGGTGTGTTTGTGTATGTATGGTGGTGGTGATGTACGCTATCGGGTTTTATCCAATCAATTGTAGATGCATTTCTTTCTCATTCTCTGTCATCGATTAAATAAATGTCGAATGGAACGAATTTGCACAGTTCACAGAGTGTGAGCGCGTTTTGTGTGTGTCGCTGCTTTTTTTTGTTCTCTCCGAGCTAAGTTTTCATGTTAGTTTCTAATATGTACAGTGTAATTTTGTTGCAATACACATAAAGGCGACGTGATGTCGCTTCAAAATCGATGTCAACGGTTAGAGAACAAAAGAACGAAAAATGTGTAACAATAATTGGATATGCATTTCGTTCACTGTGAAAATACTTAAGTTTATTAGAGAGAGTGTGTGTGTATGCGTTTGCCGAAGTCAAATCAATCCAATGCAATCACACCATCACGCCATTCAATTTACATCACATCACACATAATGCCAAACGGAATAACCAAACGAAATTCGTACGATAATCGACCCCTACGGACGGCAATCGTCAATACAACTGGATAAATACCATTCCGTCCAAAGTGTTTAATACCGATTTTCTTACACAAAAAAAAAAACCAAATATCGAAAAGTCCGCGGATGGATCCGCGATACATAGTAAAAACCAAATGTTCTCCAAAAGCGTTGGAACCTGAAAAAAGGCAACAACACGTATAAAAAACCACCCTCTTCCGATCTTTGCATAAAGATATTACACGTTCATCGAGTATAATGTGGTGTGGATATCTGGCTATTCGCATACTTGTACATTCACATACAAGCACCAGCTATTTACTTTGAAACTAAATAATGTGGAAAAATACATACAATTTCACGCACACACATACATACATACACATATCCATACAGACAGACATACACAATGATCCACAAAAAAAGCTTTCAATGCACAAATATTGAAAACTAACGGGACACACCAAAAATTCATCTACTTACACAGAGAATTTTATTCACACTAGCTGCAAGACATAAAATGCTTATTCCAACAAAAAGCATACAAACTCTTAACAAAATACATGCATCCCGCATTGGAATATTGGCAACGTGATGGAAAAATTTAAATGCGCCAAGCTCTCACCATGCATTTTCATGTGAGCTCTCATTTCTTTACTTAATAATGCAGCGACCGAACTAAATATTTTTCAAACAATCAACCATCCACACATGCACAATCACACACACAACTGCACACTCCATACAGGCACCATGCAATTCAACTTTGTAAACCACATTTTCCCTTCTTCCTCACATGTCGCTGTCTTTTTCCACATTTTCAATCTAAACGTGGTGTCAAGATACACATAAAAATAGAAAAAAAAAACTTTTAAAATAAATAAACAAATAACAGCAAAAAAATCACACATTCAAACGCAAAAGACTGGGAGCTGTACGATACGAAAAAAATAAATAAATATAAGCTCGTCGATAGTAAAATGTTTCGAATATTAGGTATCTGCATATTATAGCAATGGTATAAGCGGCAACGACCATAAGAATTCGTTTGAAAGACATAGTGTCCAGAAAAGCATGTCTTTTTTTGGTAGTGACGATGAAACGAGCACTGCTACAGTATTTTACACTGTAACAACCTTATAGTTTCGGACATAGAATCTCACAGTTTAAGTTTTATGCACATAGCGTAAATCACACACTGTTTCTCATCCACCACCGGATTCTCTCTCGTTCACAAGTGTTGCACATTTCACACAGATAAAACGAATACGACATGTACACATATACATTATCGCGCTCTGGTGGGAAAACGGCGAAAGGAAATAAGACACACAGTACAAACGAATAAGAGAGCACACGCGACAAGTATAACCATTTGGAAGTTATTAAAAAAAAAATTGTGTGTATGTCTCAATGTTTGTTGTTTTTGTTGCCGTTGCCCCACCGTCGTTCGGCTAAAGTCATGGTTCGCTTCGAAAAAAGAAATCGACTACATTTTCCCCGAAAACTTCTTCTACACTTTCAACATCATATTCTCCATTCGAAGAACGATTTGAGCTTCCTTGTTTGTTGCGCGTTGTACATAACACATTCAATTCACTCATTCTCAGACTAACACACAGGTTGCCAATAATTCCTAATATGGCAATTATGAATCCAAATCCGATTTTTGTTTGTTGCTGTTTCTACTTCTTTTGCTCTAGCTTCAGTAATTCGCTTCATTTTTTTGTTGTTGTTCGTCGCTTCACATTGAAAACCCACACGATCTCATTTAATGGGAGTGAAAATCGGCCAATTGAAAATCATGTAGCTTCTGCATCAACGATTCAACTTGAGATGATATTGCCAATCTTTTAAAATACTTTTTATTAAAACAAATACCGTTTTTTTTATTCTTACAGAAAATGTTGAAATAATTCTTTTGATAATTTGGAAAATACAACCCCTTGGGTAGGGTACTCAGAACGCAGATTGTTTTTGTTGTTTTTTTTTTCTAATTTTCGTTTTGGAAATGCAAACGAATGCTTTTATGTGGACAAACTTTGTTTAAAGACCAAATTGTGGAAGTCAAAGAAAAAAAAATAAGTTTTATCACAGTTGCTGTTAAAAATCACAGTTAGTACAATAAAATCACTCCGAAAATCAAAACTATAAACTTAACAAATTATCAAGTGTTGCGAGTCAAAAAATAAGCTTTCGAAAAAAAAAAACTCAGAAATGGAGAGAAAAAGGCGACTGTAGCAGAGAGAGCGAGAGATATATAGAAAAAAAATGTTTTTTTACACATTTCTTAAGTGACGTTCGACGATTCAGATTTTTTTAGAGGTTAAGTGATAAGATAAAAAAACGGAACAGCAGAAATGGCACAGAAAATAAACCATTGAACCACTGTGTACCATGTGCCACTTTACGATTTTTAGTTTGTGATATAGACGAAAACTCAAACTATACACCACGAAGAAATTGTCGTAAGAACATTAACAGTATAACAACAAATATTGTGTGTGTGAAATGCACATGTGAAAGTTATCGCAAATGTTTGTGCCATTACTTGTTGCGTCACACAATGCTGTGACAAAGAAGATAATCGAAGTGAAGAAATTTAAATTTACCGTGAATTTTGATGTTGCATTTGATACGATTTTAACGAGTTTTTATTCAGTAAATAAATTCAAATTGTGTGGTGAACAAATTATTAATCAAATCGAACATAAACAAATCAATTGCTTGAAAATCGGAAAAACATGGCGGATTGCTCCTATGCGCGTTGCGTTCAAGAAAGACGATTTATAAAGCGAGAACTACAAAAATGGAATAAAGATATGGTACACATTGTGGGTGAGTGTTCAACCGAATTTTTCTATATTTTTTCGTTTGTTTTGTTTAAAAAAAAATCACAAATTTATGATACATAATAACCAATAGTGATGAAAATTTAAATATACAAATCGCAAATGGTATATTATCATGTTACGCCGGTCGTTCCATTTCTGTTGAACTCCTTGGCGATTAAACTGTACAAGTTTAAGAGGGTCCGTAACACAGTGTCAGTGTACGTTCTGTTTGTTGTGCAATTTTATGTGCGGTCAGTAAACTTTGGATTTCTTCAATTTTCTTTTGACTTCACCGTCAAAAAATAATATGGCGAAAAAAAGTCGATCATTCGAAAGAAAAGAAAATAAAGGGGAAAAAACAGAAAAAATAAACGGGAAAATAAACGAGCGAGCTGCTACTCAAGTATTGAATAGACATTTTCAAATAGTTGAAGGGAAACAAAAATATTTTTGCAGCGAAAAGTCTCTTATGGGTTCGTTCATCCAGCAAACATAATCCAACAACGATGAAAAACACTGTTGAATGTGCGAAAACAAAGACAATGACCGACCAGAATACACAACAATAGCAGTCAAGTATATAATAGTGGGAAAATTAAATAAAATGTTCGAGAAATAAGAAACGAGGAGCGAGGAACGAAAAGTGAACAAGTCCATTAATGGACCTGTTGCCAAATTATATAGAGAAATTCGTATTTCCACTTTTTTTCATTTCCATTTCGTTCGGTATTCGCTCTCGTCTTCTCTTTCGTTCTTGCTTCTCGGTCGGGCTTATTATTTGAGAATGCTTGCACTAACGCACTTATATGCTAGATAAAGTTGCCCTTTATGTATGTTGCCGAGTGTGAGAAGAACAAAAAATTGAACGAGGAATGGTTCCCGGTTTTGGTAACCATACCTATAACGTCTGTGAAAAATGTCTGGACAAATGATCTGGAATTCTTCAACACAAATACATGCAAGTAGACAGCCGAATTAAGCGACAATGTTGGGTTCTATATGCATAGAAAAATGGCATGAAGCAGAGAAGCCTCGTCCGTTCGTGCTTCGATGCACTTTTTGTTTTTATTCTCTCTGCACTTCCCAAATATATGTTTATACTCTCACACACTTGTGTAGATTCTTATATTTTCTGTGCAAGATTGATGTCGTCCGAGTTACTGTTATGTGTACTAGCCTGTGCAACAGCTCCGCACATCATAGCCCACCATAGCACGAGCATCTTCTTGCAAACTGAAAAGCAGTTTACGTGAAATCGCCAAAAAGAAAGGAGGAAAACATTGAATTGTAAAAATAGAGATAGAGAGGAAAAGGAAAAGTCGGAAAAACCAATCCTTATGTGCTGCTAATACACGCTGTTCATGCTCATTCGCACAAACACATAATCGTCATCTATTTATTCGGTTCTCGGTTCGGCTTACATAACGAACCAACACAGGACCAGAAAAAAAAAATTTGAGAGAAAAAGAGTGGGCGACCGAGAGAAAGTAGAAAATAAAAACGAAGAGGAAAAAAGAAGAAATACGAAAAAAAGAACCGAAGAATAATGAATGTGCAGATAGGGAAAAAGAATTGAGGCGAAATTTTCCTTAACTGAATGAGAGAAGAGCCGAGAAGGGCTTATAACTTTGGCTGTTCCCAGATTATATTATATATAGAGAGAGATATAGATATAAATATATGCGGTGCGAGCAAGTGCATTGTAACAGAGTACAGCATATTTTGTATATTCGACATTTCGAATAGTGTTTTCCTCATATCGAGAACAGTGTGCCGAGTAAGGCTCACATAGCACACCGAACCACGCAAAATAACGTATCACGATTTTTGTATAAATACGTTTGGCACATGGATGAATATTGGTATTATACAGGACGAAATGCATCTCTATAGATGGCTATATGCGATTGTTGGTGATCACAGCTCAGAGTGCATAGTGCGCCAATCTACGAAATAAACGAGATTTCAAACTGGTAAATAAAGGAATGAATGAGACAGTTTAAGTCAGGCACTAAGAATTTGGTTACCAATACATAGAACATATAATCAGTTCAGAAGCGGGATGGAGCAAAAAAAATGTATGGCAAAGTAAAATGGAAAATAAATGAGAAAAAATTATCAAAAAAGGTGATCGAACTCATTTCTTATTGGATATCAAATCGATTTTAATGTGTATGTGTATCTGTGTGTCTGTGTATAGCCAGGACGAGCACACATATTTGGTGGAGCGAGGGACGAAAAGAGAGAAAAAGAGGAGTGGACGCTTCATGCTCTTTACGTTTTCCACCTAACTCGAAGGAACGAAAAATAAAGTGCAACAGAAAAATCTTCAAACTATCTAAAAGCGGTATACATAGCAAACTTACGTAAATAATTTTTAAGGGTGAGCAGTCGCGGCATGAGAAGAAGGTCGTACGAATATTTACGAAAAAAAGAGTTATTTTTTTTTTGTTTGTTGCACATAAACAAATTACATAGCCACGTACTTTGTCCCTTCCCATTCATTACGTTTAGTTTCCGACGAGCGAAAAAAAAAAACAGAAGACGAATAAAAAGGAAAAAAAATGACAGAAATTAAAAATGAAGCAACGAAAAAGGCACCCGAAACTAATTGGTAAAAAAGCTTCATTTCGTTGTTTTTGCCGCTGCCGCTTCGGATTTAAATATAAAATTAATGGATTTTAATTTTTGTGTTGCACATTTTTTCTCATTCAATTTTTTTTTGTTCTTCAGTTGAACTGCCCGAGAATATTATTAATGAACAAGAAAAATGTGAAGGGGCTCCAACCTTTCCATTATTTCCTTCTGGTAACTGTTTGCCACTGTATGCATTTTATACAAGGCCATATATTGAAAGAAGCATCCACAAAAAAATTCAGAGAAAAAAAAAGTGAGAGCAAGAGACAGAGAAACACGCAACACCATACACATAATCGTATACGAGTGCGAGATTTAACATATAAACGGAAACGGACAAAAAGCGGCTGCAACGACACAAGATATCCCCTATATTGGAGCAAATATTGTGTCGCTTGCATATGTATGTCTGTATCTTCGCCAAACTATAAATATTATAAAAACTACACCCTAAAAAAGCAGCCCACTCTATGATTTGTCTTTTTTCCCTCTGTTTGTCTATTTTTCTCTTCTTCTCTTATTTTCTTGTCCTTCGCCGTTTGTTATCACACTTCTGGAGGTATGTGTGCATCACTCGACAAACGCTCAACGTTACATGTATAAATACTCGTTTGTTCTACTCTCGCCAATTTTCGAGTATACGTATTGCGTCTATGCCATTCTATGCTGTATAATATATATAGATATGTCTTCTCACTGTGTACAAACTCAATTCAACAACATGAAAATAGTTATCGTTGCAACGGACCCTTGATCGGTCTAAAAAAAAATTCGCATCCGATATAAGTGCACCGTGACAATGTAAAACATATCTAATTTTTATCACGTTACTTCTCAGCAATCAAATGTTGCAACAGCATCGAATGCGTTCACAGCATATCCAATATTGTTGAAAATGGATCCGATTTTCGGTCCGTGGCCAATGTGAACAAAATTTTTCATAAAATATCATCTATACCCTCTGCCATTCTCTGTTCTCTGTTGTACATAACAATCTTTTCATAAGAGAAAAAGCAAGCGGCAACTGTCTGCTGTAACGGCTCCACCACCAATACCAACGATATTAACGACATCGCCATCATCATCATCATCACACCATTCAATGCATATTGCATTCTTTTCTGTGGGGTATAGTTTTTCGGGAAAAGTTCTAGTGGGGATCTAAAATATCTTTCGTTCACCGTTACTCAACCAATTCCAATGAACTGTGCTGCAAGGCTCATGCAAGTCGACTATGTCTCTCCTCTTCCTTCTCTTCTCTCTGTTGCTCTCCATCCGCGCCAGTCAATGTGTTATTCAGTTTGGCAAATGCAATTCCACCCGACACCATTCAAACAACAACAAAAAAAAAATTAGAGAAGAGAGAAATAACTACGACAAACGCTATGTATTTTGTATGTGTTGTGCGCGCGGGTTGGCTTTAACTTTTATCCATTTTTTTCCGGTAAATGGGCAAAAAAATTCCGGCGAACGAAAGATATCTCGGTATTTTGCTGTTGATCCTGAGCTTGCCGAAGTTTAAGTTTGCAAGTTGGTCGTGAGCAACAAGTGAGTTCATTTTATGTGATAGTGATTTTTTGGTTTTCGACTTGGTAGAACATAAGTGGAAGTGAAAATTCAGTTGTTGCATCGAGTTCAGTTTCGGGTACAACAAGTTAAATCTATTAAAGACAAGCAACAGTGCTGAAAATGTTTTTGATTTGTTTGGCTTGAAAATGTAAACGATTTTTTTTGGTTGGTTGCAATAAAAAAAAAAAAAGAAAACAAGTAGTAAACAAAAAAAATGTTGTAAATTTTGCGTATGGCAAAATAAACGGTAAATAATATTTTCGAAAACATTCAAATCGAAACGGATAGATTGTGATTCACTTGATTTGTTTATATTCATACGACTCCCGAGAATTGCAGCATGTTCCTTATTCCAACCGTAAAAAAAATTCCAAACATTTTTAAATGGTAACTAACATTTAAATTGAATTTTGTGCTGTAGAATTAATCAGCACGTATTTTCTTTCAATTTTCTTTTTGATATTTCTCCCATTTATATCGATATCATTCTCGTTCGCACTCTGTCATTTTATTTATTAAATTTATATAAAAGCTTTGAATTCGATCAACCATTCTTTTTTCATAAATTGATCCGTTTGTTTTCCAAAAGAAACTTCTATTCTGCTATTGTGTATTTGCGCTATTTATTTATTTTTTTTAAATAAATAACTGAATTTTGTACAAACATGTTTTCTCTGCACAGTCCATTATTTCCGGGAATAAATAATGTAACAGTTCATAATTAAAAATGTGATGACATCCATTGGTTGCTTTGAACAAAACCAAAACAGTATTTACGCGCAACTTTTCGTTCACATC